ACACGATGGACTTTTAAACCAAAAAGTTTTTAAAACAGTGCTGAATTTCCCTTCCCACCCACTGCCCCTGGTGAAGGACCATTCTGCACAGCCTGTCCCATCCAGAGGTAACACAGGCACATCCCTATCCTCCATGTTTTGCCTTATGCTGCCAGGGAATGATCCCATCTGATCTGCTGAGCTAGAAATAGAGGAAAAATTACAGGATTTCAGTTTTTAGCATCATGAACACTTGCCTTTTGTAGCCAGGCTACTTAGGTCAACTGCTGGCTATAGGATTCATACTCAAATATAAAAATAGGGTTCCTGCAGCAGCTAGTGCTTATAAGTGCATGCAGGATAAGGCCTGGGAATCTCAATGTTGATCCAGATGGGTCACTGTCTTTATGCTATAGGATGTCTCACTCATCTGTATGGTCCAATAGTTTAAAAGTGAAACATCTATCAAAATCTCATTACTTTGGAGAGGATGGGAGCTCATGGATTATAAACCTTAATTTATTTTTTATATCTTAAATTATGGTGCCGTATCTAAGCCATAAATTTTTAGAAAACAAACTGCTGATGCATTTGAAAGAGTCAAATAAATACTCTCAGCACCACGACAGACTAGTGATAGAGGGAGTGAGCAGATGCGTGGGGTGAGGATGGCAGAGAGGTGGTGATGGCATATTGCTTTTGGAACTGCAACTCCTGTTGTTTTTGCAATAAGATGCCATTTCCTTGGAGGAGAGGAGAGAAGGTTAATGATACTGGTTCCTGGGAATACAGGCACTCCCCAGTGACTGAAAGGGAATATTCCTGGATCCACCAAAGATCATAATTTCACTCCCAAGTGACTGCTAGCAGAAAGACATGCCTGTCTGCCTTTAGTTTAATATCATCACAAAGAGGTGATTTATTAAATGGTGTCAAACTTCTTGACAGTCTTTGAGCCTGTGCTCTGTAGGTTTTGCTTGGTGGTGTAGGAGGCTGAAATAGCTATCAGTGTACAAGACAGTATTTTAAATTGAGCAGCACTAAATAGCCTGATCCTGCAAATCTAGGATTGTGCAGTTTATTTCAGAGAGACTGATCTTCCCAAGTTTTGTGTGTCATTTAAGGGGAAATCTTTCCCACCAAGACCAAATGCTTTTGGGAGTGACAGTGATAAGCCCCTTGAATCCTTGCTAAATAATGCCTGGGACAGGGATCAGGAGATTTATTCAGTCATATCAATTATAGGAGGTAGGGTTTGCTAAAGCACAAGAAGGACAGAAAGCTCAAAAACTGCGTTGGAAAGATTTGACAAGTAAAGTCAAATGAAATACAGCCATGAAACCTGTGATGGGAGCAAGGGTAGGGGTCAGCACCCAATTCGTTTTGTATGACAACTTCATTAAGTATATGGGTAATAAAGGATTATTTCTGTAGTATTGTATTATGTGTTATTTAATTCTGTATTATTTTTGCCCTGGTTACACTGGTTGTCTACAGCTGGACTCTTCCTCTAATACGGTCAGAATAGCATTGATTCCAGAGATGAGACATGCAAAGTGAAAGTGATACAGATAGATAATTACAAATACATCTGCTTTGTTTCATGGTGTGGACAGTCTTCCCGTGAAGGTAACTCTGACAGTGCTCCAGGATGTACTTGTGGTGCTGGTGACTGGTGCAACAAGAGGCCAAGCGGCGTAATCAGATCTTACATCTGGGTGCTGGCTGTCAGGGTTTCGGGAAACTTCTTTTGCTGTGTGATAGACCTGTTCTCACTGGGCAACGGGAAAAGCCTATGTGACTGTTAAAACGAGAGTGGAAAAATATGTATCTGGAATATGCGTTGCTTTATCCTGCCAAGCCAAGTGTTTATTGTGGAGGCCAGACACATCTGTCCTCCTCCAACAGATATCATGGTGTTTCTTGGATTAAAAAGGCCGACTGTAGTGGAACAGTGGAAGAAATTGCTTCAGAAGACTGACTTATTGGAGTCCTATATCATATGGACCCTGTCAAAAAAATATTAGCCACAATAAAAGCTGACACTTGGGGAGATGAAACCAATATTGCTTGATATTGTGATTACCGTTACGGCAACATGCTCAAGGTGGGCAGTGGGAAATCGAGTCCTTTCTTCATTTGACATGGGCCGTCAATATGATTACTTTGGGGATTTTTTTTTTGTTTTATGTAATAAAACATCTGTAATAAAAGTTTTTTTTAAAAAAACAGTTTTGGGAAAGAGACTGGGGACATGGATTGCAGACAGCTATTTGGGTCAAGGGGTTAGGTTTTTGCCAGGCTCCAGATGAGGACGGACAGGATGACAGGGGATGGAAGCGATTCTGAAGCTGAATCCATCTATGCTGCACAGGCAACAAGAACAGCATCAATTTAGTGAGCTGCACCTGATCTGAAGTTTGGCAAGAGAGAGGTCCATATACGCATTATTCCCTGTATGGGTTATTTCTGAGAATGCTGCTTATGAATGCGTGTTTGTTCTGAAAAATTGCAGTAAGTGTGAATAACAGAACTCATTACACTGTCTTTGCATTTTCATGCCCTTGCAGATTTACTGGAAGATCTTGGAAAACAGCAGCTTTGGCGGAACAATTTAGTTATATCAAGGATAAGGAATTTTTGCTGGAAACTTGACAGGCACCAAATCACTTTCTTATATCCAGTTCTTCCAGTTACTTCTGTGGAGAGCCTTAGACTTGCTGTGGATACTTTTATGTGCATGCCATGTTTTAATGGTAGACAAAACCCCAGACAAACCCCACAAAAGAGCAAAACCAACCTTCCCTTGTATGTTTGGCTTATTTCTGAACAACCTAGCCCAGCTCAGGTGCCCTTGCTCATGCACGTTGTGCCAAGCACATAGTTCTGTATCTTCTGCCATTCACTGCCTGGCATGTTAAGAGTGTAAGAACTGAAGCTGAGAAGAGGTTTGTGATTGTTTTCAAATGGAGCTGGATTTACAGCCCTAGTGTTTCTTCAGTAGTTTTGTAATACCGATACGGCATGTAGCTGATGGGGTGGAATGGTAAATTGTTGTGACCAATGTAACGTGTTGACAGTCTGATATCTAGGGATTTATACCAAGCACAGGTTACCATTAATGGGCAAAATGAGAAATTATAACTTTCAATGTGCCAGATTAATTTGATATACATCCAAGTCTGTTTAAAAACCATTAGCTGCTTAGCATGTCTCAAACAAACATTGCACATTATTTGATTTTTGTTTCTGGTTCCTGGCATCAGCAGAAGTAAGATTTATCTCTTCATTTATATAGCACATAAGTTAACCTAGAGAGCGACCCAGCAATTTTTAAAGTGTTTGAGCTTAAAAATAACTCTGTTATGAAATAGGACATAATGCAATACAATGGTATTACAGCAGCTTAGTTCTGTTTCTTCAGAAGAAAGCAAATTATGATTGTTTGCTACATAATAGTGGATAGTCTACTGCTCTGGTTATTCCTGGGCCACCAGGTCCTAGAGGAGCAAAAGCCAGACGTGAAGCAGCCTTACACTGCTGTTCAGATTTGCAATTCAATGACGATGTTTGGGATACTATAGGGTGTAGTTAAATGCAGTGCAAAGGTGAAGGGCTGGTTCTGCAGAGTGCTGAGTGCCTTTAACCTCATTGAAGCCAAGGCGTTTCAGGGTGCTCAGTGTCTTCTCAAGTCCCCCACCATAACCTGGGGCACACAAGTTTCTTTTCATGCAAGGAAGCTGCAGGGTATTTGCAGTCAGTGAATCTGCATGGAACACTCTGCACTGGAGGGAGGTTTATGCTGCAGGCTGGGGTGGTCCTGCACCTGCTTACAGGCACCGACAGCGCTGATGAGCCAAGCAATGCAAGACTTGGGTGTTCAACTACAGAGTGAGGGCTGTGATTTTTTCCAATAACTGGCATCAGTCTTCCGAGGATAGTCCGCATTACTGTGTCCCCTTCCCTTCCCTGTCCTGGTTGGGGCAGGATCAGCCCATACGTATTACTTTCGAATCTGAAAATCTTAAAAAAACCATCGGAACATCAATCCAACATCTCCAACTGCACTGTCAAAAAATAGCTCTCCAGTCTATTTAAAAATCTTCTCAATTTCAGTTAAAATAAAAATATGTTAACATTTTGCCTGTGCCTATGCTTTTGGTTTGGACTCAGAAGATAATTTCGTATGTTACTGTCATTTTTTTTTCCAGAAAAGCAGATACCTTCTCTATTCCTCTACAAAAGCTTTATGCCACAATAATTTAAGATTTCCTCCAGGTTAGAATATTTCTGCATGTAAAACCTCTTTGAAGGTTTAAATAGACTGTAACTGAGTTTTGACATGTATTAGCACGTGTCAAGTACAGCAGTTATTAAGGGTGGTGGAGACAAGACACATTCCATCTCTCCAGCAACTGACTCACAGGTGTCCAGATCACTACAGGCCACAAGCGGGCAAAGCCACTAAAAAAAGTCACCCTTTGCTGCGACAAGCATTAAAAACTCCCTTTTTCAACCGTTTCAGCAATAGATCCAATGAATGCTCAAGTGAGGAATAAACTGTGTTTGCTATCTTACAAAATCATGTCCCAGGATTGTGACTGGGAAAATTGCCTTTCTATTCCTTTTGATGTAAATCTTTTCTGCATCTCTGTAAGGTTCTGCATCCACCCAGAACATATTTTTAAAGTATATTAAAGCACAGATTTGCACAGCATGATGTGCATTAGTTAAATAGGCGTTGCTGAGTTCTGTCCTGTTCCTCTTCTCTTCTGTGTGAGCTAAATCTGTCTGCATCCAAACAATTCATAAGAGTGAAATTGTTTGTCATACTGATGGATTTTCTTTTTTATCCTTTAATTCCTTTCATTGATATATAAGGCATTGACTGAAATTGTAATCTCTCCTATAGCAGAATTAAAGGAGTGTGACACGCAAAAGGAAATACTCAGGACTTGATGCTTTTTAAAGCATAACGCGTTTAAGCAAAGCCAACTGACTTTCTGCACTTCTCTTCCCAGGGCACAGCTTCTGTGCTGCAGCGCAGGTCTGACAACGAGGAGTACATCGAAGTCGGAAGACTTGGTCCCTCAGATTATTTTGGTAAGACACTTCAGCTTAAGTATGGTTCAGAAAGACAGGCACGTGGAGTTGTATCAAGTAGTCATTGTCTTAATTAATGTCCTACTCTTTTACGTGAGAGGGGTTATGTGTAGGTCAGCTGCTGCTTTCAGCGATACTGAGAGATTTCAGTGAAGCTGAAACCATTCCTTGGTTTACACCCGTATAGCTGACAGGAGACAGATCCAGAATCAGCAAAACAGTCTGAAAGCATTTGTTTTCAAAGGCATTTTACACGCATGCATTATGCATGTGTAATGCATTTGTACTGTCAACAGAATTATGTAAAGTGTCTATCAAGAGATATATAAAGGGAGAGGTTCTGCAACCAAAGCAACTAGATGGTGGCTAGAATATGCACCCTCCGAAAAAAGAGGCACAGGGGGTGTGACCGCATATTTATCCCTATTTCCAGGTGAGATAGCGTTACTGCTCAATCGGCCCCGGGCTGCTACGGTGGTGGCACGCGGACCCCTGAAGTGCGTAAAGTTGGATCGGCCCCGCTTCGAACGAGTGCTCGGTCCTTGTTCCGAAATCCTCAAGAGAAACATTCAGAGATACAACAGTTTCATTTCACTCACGGTCTAAATGATTCCTTTTGGAAAGCTGCCTTTGTGTGACCTTGTGCACTTAAATTTGCTCTGTGCAGCTCCATAGCTTTATGAAGAAAAAAATAAAAAGTGTGCATTTTATGTGTATTTTTTCTGTTTATGTCACGTAGTGGATGTCAGTTCAAATCTCATGTATCATGTAAGTAGGAAGACAACTCTTTAGATAAGACTAGCTTTGGGGAAGATTAGGCCCTTGGCTTGCAGGCAAGATTTTTACCTATTGTTGGATCATATAGCTTAAAACTGTGTTTTTAACTATTTAAAATACATATGAATTTCTATTTCCCTCATTATCTTTAAAGTTTGTCTTATTCATCTTTTGTCAAGCTTCTTTGCCCAAGCGATGTCCCTCTGCCTGTCACTTTTAAAAGACTTTTCACCGGTTATGGACGGGAGGCTTCTGAAATTCCACGGGGTGAGTGGCAGTCATGCAGTTTATGAGGGAAGGTTGGAGGAAGGTTTTGATCATTCCAGCAAGCCAGGGAAAAGTAGAGCTTTTGAGTTAATTTGTTTGTGGCTTAGATACAGGGGCCGTATTCCTCCGTGTTAGGTGCCCTTTCAGGTCTGCTTTGTAGGATATACTAAGCCAAACAGCCTGCTCCAGTCTTCTGGGTGAAGAGGTCAAGGGACAAAGTTTTATAAGAATTCAAATGGAGCCTTTAGGACCTAAGTTATTTGTCCTCAGCTTTTTTTAAATGAGGGTTTGCATTACATCCCTTAAAAGTCCAACGGGAACTTCTCCACTGAATTAAGTGGGCTTTGAAACATATTTATCTGCAGCGAGTGTCCTCAGCCACTTCTCTGAATATTATATGAAATGCTGAAGAGAGAGTGCCAGGTGTACATCAGGGGCAACAATGGCAGTTTGTTTTTAATAAGGTCCACTTAATTAAATTCAAATGCCTTTCTTTTAGTATATGACTAAATTTTAGCATTTTTTAAGGATTTTCTGGGAGCCAAATACATGCTTCAAAATGCTGCCTGTCCTCCAAAAGACATGTATATCATAGCAAAAAGCACCAGGTTCTTGCAGTCCTGGTTCAGGTCCCTCCAGGGGCGTGCAGCCTCGCTGGCAGTTGTTGCTGCCCTGCCTAGACATGGGTCTCCTCTTGAACGGAGCTTTTTGCAGATCCAGACCTTACTCTGCTGCGCAGCCCTCAAGGATGGGATCATTTAGATTATTCTTTGAGAAGCTTTTCCTTTGAAGGAAAACTTGTCTTTGCTAACAGCAGCAAAGGTCTGCGTCTCCGCTACCCTAAATAGCACTGCCCGCTTTTCAGTTATGGCAAAACTTTCTGTAAAAACCACTGTGGGCAGCTACTGGAATATTGGGCCCTCTTGGTGGGAGAAATAAGAGTTTTGCCCTTTGACATCTAAAAGGTACAGAAAATGTTTTTTACAGAGCTAACTGCTTTTCGACTTCAGACTCTTCTCATCACTTCAAGGTGCTTAATTTATTTCAGTGTATTTTCAGTGGTCCTGTCAGTGTATATTCGTTGCTACTATTTATTATTATTATGTTACGCTTCTTGCACGTGTTATTAAATATGACCATTCACATTTTTCAACCTTCCAACTTTTGTCACATACATTTATATAGGCAGACCCTCATTATAAATATATATATAAAAATGTATATGCATTTGCAAAACTTTTGATTTGCTTCACTGTTTTTGTATTCTCTTGTGCAATTTTTAAAAGAAATATTTTTTAAAGGCTACCAGTCATTCATGTATGTTCTTTTACCTATTGCATTTCTGTTGTATTGGTAAAAAATTGTGAGTGTTTCGCACAATATGCAAGACACATTTCTGGTTAAACATCAAGTATTAGCCTCACTGTTTAGAAGTCACTCGAGCACACACATACAACACAGATTCTTTGCTTTAAACCTTTACAGCTCATGGAAAATACATTTGAATTATGGTTCTGTTATAAGCAATCTCAAGAGAAGTGTAACCATTTAACAGCAGGATTCCTATGCTTTAAGTGGAACAAAATTATATTCAATGACATTTTAAAGATAATTGTAATATTTGCAGTGGATGATGGGACAGAATTATAGTATGAATAAAATTCTTCTACATTATATGCGGCCATTGTGGGTTTATTAATAATGGAAGTCTGTATGAATAGAAGTCATGTTCTAGTTAAAATCTGCGTATCATAAAAAGTTTGAACTCTACTGAAAATAATCAGATGCAAAGGGACAAAAAATAGACCAAGAATCCCAGTGCTATATATAGTAATGGAAACCAAACTGGTTTTCTGGAGGATTAGCATGAAGAACAAAATTTCTTCTGTTTCAATGTAACCATGTATGTTTGTATAAAGAAATAGGGGTTCAAGATGTCTCTCAAACCTTCATGTTGTTGTTTAGATGCCAGTTTAGCCAGGCATTTAAGCACATGTGGAACATGCAGTATGCGAGCTGTCTTGCTGGTCGTAGGGACCCTGTGACGAACTTCAAAACCCACAGGACTGCTGCTGAGTCTGTTGTACAGCCAGCGGGAAGACTTGAGGAAGAACATGCTCGCTCTTTCTCAAATACCAATACTGCTCCTTTTTCCCCCTGAGTATTGTAGAGAAAGCCCATGGCCCTGACCAGACTGGGGATCTGTCCCAATCGTTCCTCTCAACTTCTGGCCATGCATGGATTTTTAGCAGTGCAGCTGCCCTGGGACTGAAGCACAAAGCCATTTTTGGCACCAGAGATGTACTGTGCTGCTGCCATGGCTTCTGTTCATGTAATGGGCTGGCCAAGGACTACATTGAGAACAAACTTCGCGGAGAAGGCAGAGCCTCCAAAGGAACCATCTGTATCTCATGCATCGGGGTGAATACATGGGTTGAAGGACTGGAGAGTACGGCTTCTGGGTGAGGAAGAGGTGTTTAGCGTGTGGTTAGTGCTGCACTACCTACGATACCCACCAGAGCTCTGGATGGCCACCTCAGTAGGTACCTTGGGGTCCACATCAGTTGGTACCTTGGGGTCCAAGCTTGGCTCTGGTGCTGGAGCCGTCGCCTCAGAGTGGCGTGCAGGGCTGGTGGACTCACCCTGTGCCGCTCCTCTGTGGTGGCCCCCGCAAAGGAATCTTGGGCGGCTCCCGACATCCAAGGGCTGTCCAGCTTTCCGTTTTTGGAGTGTGTTATTTTTCCCCCCTTCGCTATGATTCAGGCGGGAAGGACTCGTCTTTCCAGAGAATTACTCACATTATGTAGTAATCAAAAGTGACCACTCTCTCTGAGGTTCTTCCAGAAGGACATTACCAGCCCACGCTCCCCAGAAAAAAGCATCTTGACACTCCTCATTGCCATTCTTTTTTCGGTTGGTTTTAATTGTGTTGCAGCCATTTCAGGACTCCCAAAACAAAAGAAAATACTTTTTTTTTTAATAGAAACTAATTGTATCTCCAGGTTTTTTATAAGGCCCATGTGGCTGACCAGGCTTTCGTGTGTGTATCATTACTGTAAGCTCTCTCAAGCGTTCTCACTGCTTTGTGGCAATGGGTGCCTAAAGTTGTTGAGTCATATGAACCCCGTCAATCCATGATCCTCAAGCAAGCACAGTCTGGCACTATGTTACCTGTTCAGGTGTTGGTGGAAAACAGGAGCTATTGCAGAGAACCACGTAATCCCAGTTCATGCCAGTTTGGTTGTTGGCTGCTGGTTTGTTTTTCTTGCGGTAAGCGGTCTTCAGATGCAGAGTCACCACACGAAGGGTAACGTTTCTCCTGTTGTGAAGGTTGCACAAGGTGTGTGCATCACATTCAGTTTTAAGTCTTAAATGGTGCATAAATCCTTTCATTGACCTATTTATGGAAGAGATCATGTTTGTTCTTTGCGCATATTTCTGTGTAGCAGCTGAGAGAGAGAATATTATCTTGTGCAGAGGCAAAACCACGGTGATCTCCTTAAAGAGAGCCAGAAGTGCTATTGCCTGCTGTTCATCGCCATGCCACAGGAACATCACTGTGTGTCCACAATGACGGCTGCAGGTGGATGGGAGTTAGCAGAGTAGGAAGACAGAGTACATGATGTTGCACCATTGACCCAAGAAGTACTAACCAGTTTAAAAGCTCACACGTGATATTTCCAAGACCAGCTCACCATTTAGAGACCGAATTATCTACTCTCACATTCCCAGGCATGATTTTTTAATTTGTTTCTAATGATTTGGCAACTCTGACTGGAGCTCATTTTTGCCTTCTTCAAATGCACACGACTGCTCAGAAACTCCTCAGAGTGTTTCCACAGCGAGAGTCATTTCTGTAGGTCCCAATTCCCTCTGGAGAAGGAGAACATATTTGGATATGAGCGATGCGTCGCCTTGAAAATCTGGTGTTATGGGAATGGATGGGCTTTGATGGTCCTCCTCCTCCAAGGGTTTCTCTATGGCTCATTGCTGCTCAGCAGAGTTTTATCTGGGATGCAGCACTCGCACAACAAGCTGGCCTTTTCTCTGAAAAGGAGCTGGCATCTGCAGCCATCTGGTATTTTTGTGAAGGCTGAGGACGTTTTTTGTGCTTGATCAGGCTCCAATACCAAAGTGATTCTTCTGATGTCTAAAACTCTGGATTCAGCTTTTAGAAAAGAAGCTGCACTTTGCCTGGGAAAGGGAAGCAAAGCACGAGCGTCTCCTTGGGCGTACTCTGACTCCTATCTCAGAGGTGCACAGGTAACTTTTCACCTCTGAGTGTTCCAGCCCCTCCCCAGCTGTGTTTTAATCTTCGTTTTCAAGTCACTCTCTGGATAAGTATCGCAGAGAGCCTTCGCTGCCCAGACAAGCTGCAACACACATCCCATCCTCCTGTGCTCTGGCAATTTTAAGTGTGCAGAGTTCTCTTTAAAAAGTTGTGAGCTCTCACGGAGGAAAAAAATAATCATTTTACCCAAGAAGATGGCTCCTATTCCAGTATAAACCATCTCCAAACATGGAACAGTGGCGTGCCATGTCGCTGCATGGGCCAGCAGTGCTGAATGAATTGGCAGATGCTGCGCTGCAGCGTGACCTCTGGTAGCCGGGCTGCGAGAACACTGCTCCTCTCTACTCACAGCTTTGGTTCGAAGCCGAAAGAGTTGATTTGCCAAAAAAGTGCCCCTCACCCAAGCCCTGATGGGATAAATCGAGCCTCGCGCTGCCAGGACTCGCCGGGTGCATTCACCTTACCCTTGGTGGGTGCTAACAGCCCCCGCTCTTTGCAAGAACTGGCAGTTGGAGATGGGATGTATAGACTGATGATGAGGTAGGGATTTTCTCACCACTGCCTGCTGTTACTGGCGCTCTGGATGTTCATACTGCTGGCTCTAGGGAAATCAAGCCTTTCTGGGAAGTGGCTACTCCCTA